TAAATAAATAAACCGAATGACTGACACAGTTAATTTGATACGGGAAACACTGTTTCTTCAAAGGAAAGGATTGGCTTTGCCCTTCTGTGGGAGATATGTAAAAATATGGAAAGTGATTTCCTGGCTGCTGATCAGAGATAAGGGCAGAGCCTGAAAAGCCCAGCCAGGTCTGCGAGAGGATGCTCAGAGAAATTGCAGCAGGTAAAACGTATCACCGCCAGCCTCTCCTGCCTGATTCACAACCTGCTGCACTGATGCTTCCAAACCTGCTAAATCCCTCTTTGCTCCTGAAAAACGCACCTTGATTTGACAAGCTGCCACACTCCACAGACGACTGAACGACCACCGACAGCCTGAGAGAGCTCAGGAGGTCCAAATGCTGCTACAAGTCTGAAAAATCATTAAGTCAACATGCTACAACCAAATCTTTTCAAACATGGACTCTCTCCTATTGGCCACCACTATCTCCACTGGGCTCCCAACCTTGACACAGGGTCCCAGCTTCTGCTCTTTTACTGTCACCAAACACAAATGCCATTGAAGTCTTCTCTCTAGAGGTCGACTGGTGCCTCTGCCATTATCCCACTGGAGCTGCCAGCTGTTTTTGGCTTCACCAGCAGTGCCGATCTTGAAACATGTCCCTTCCTCAACTTACATAAGCTGAGCCACACCTGGAGCTCCTCCCAGTTGTCTAGTTATTCCTTTAAAGTTTTGCTTGCCCAACCAGCTCTACTGCAGTGGAAGGAGAGGAATTTCAAAGACTATTCATCTAGAAACGCACTTCAGCTCCTCTTTATGGAAGAGGTTTGCTTTCTATTACTCTACAAATAGAGAAGTTATCATAGTAAGTAAGCGAATTATATGCAGGGAGAAACCGTTTGACAAGACATCAAATTACCTTCCCACAACACCCAGGCAACAGAAACACGAAGGAAAAGCCGACTTCCCTCCTCCAACCCCACTTCCTCATGTCAGAAGCACTGGGAAAAAGAAAACTGTGCGGGATCCCAAAACACCTGCGTTTCACCACTGTTTCACAACGACTGGTTAGAGACACTGCCTTGTAATAACATCTGCGTTTGGGTGCACCAGGAATGCACTGCAGCTCCACCTGATCTTCTTGCCTTGAAGCTTCTCCAGCTATTAAATTCAAACTGAAAATATCCTGAATTTACATTCCTGTCTATCTTCCTGAATCTTTAATTCCAGCGCCATCTGAGAGACCACAAAACAACACTGCTCACTGGATAACCTCAGCTTTATCTCTGTCAAACCAAACATCCAAGCTGCAGTGTGAATATTAGTATTATTGTGCACCTTCGCTACCGTAAATTCTTCTCCCCATTAAAATTTACTAAGGAAAACAAAGAATAAAATTATTGTAATCATTGCATCACAGGAGCAACTTCTTCACACAAGCAGTGTTTTGTAAGTGCAGATTTCATAGAATCACAGAACAGTTTGGGTTGGAAGGGACCTTAAAGACCATCTAGTTCCAGCCTCCCTGCCATGGGCAAAGACACCTTCCACTAGATCACGTTGCTCAAAGCCTCATCCAACCTGGCCTTGAACATTTCCAGGAATGGGTCAGCCACAGCTTCTCTGGGCAAGGCCTTCCCCTGCCTCACCACCTCACCAATTTCCATGGCTTTGCTCTACTCTCTCTATATTATCTTTGATCTCTGCCTCCATACCGCAACAAATCCGCTCTTGATTATAGGTCCTTTTTTCTTCAAAACTCTTTCTCCAGTCCTTGTATTATATGCAGAAACATTACCATGACAAAAGGCCACCTCATGACGTCCCCTTGAAGCCCACCTTTATCCAACACTCGTACCTGAGACAACGGCCACGCAGATGGTGTACGCTACAACAGTTGTCTATTAAGCTGATCTAACAGTTGCACTATGCTTTCCCCATCTGTTCACAAATCCATTTATTGGATCTTGGCCTAGTTCTTTGAAATAAAGATAATTTAGCTGCAAGTGTTTGTAACGCCTAGAAACACTTGACTCTCATCCTTCACTGGTGGTCCTGAAATGCTCCTGGAATTTGGAGCAATAAGTTCTCGGCTTCACGCCAGGCAGGAGGAGATAACAGCGCCAAGCAGAGGCAAATAAAACTCACACATTGGAAACTTTGCAGCAGAAAAAAGAATTTA